ACGGGGCGACAGGAACGAGAGACGTCCGGATCCATTTGCAAAGCTTTATTTTAAAGACGTGGTCAAAACAGGCGAGGGTCAGACAATGGCAAAGAGGAATATAGTGGGCAAGACACAAGAGTAGTCCAGTGAACGGGCGTGGTCGATCTCTGGCGAACAATGTCCAAACAGGGTAATCCAAAGGGTTAATCCAAGATAGGCAAATCCAAAAACACGACTAGGCTAGACAGGGCAATGACTTGACTGAACTAGGAAACTGGCTCCGTAATAATGCTATCAGCAGAACAGTGATACATGCATACAATACTCGGCAGTGAATGGTTGTGTTGAGACTGATTCTTATAGTGGGTGTAATTGGCTGCAGGTGTAAACGTAATCAGTGAAATGGAGTATGGGAAATGTAGTCCGTGGTGATATGTGGAAGTCTGTGTAGTGTGAGAGTCAATATAATCAGAAGGCGACCTCTGGTGGCGAGCAGACGGGAGAATCCGGACCGGATTCGTGACAACAATGCAGGCAAATGAGTTACCAAAAACTAAATGTTATCATATTTCATAGTATTGTCAAGGTACTGAATTGTATTGTATTGAAATATGATATATAAATATATAAATGTATATAAATATATATAAACATATAAATTTATATTTAGATATAAAACATTTATTTAGTGCATATTATTATTTGGATAACCCTGGGTTGGAAATAGTTTGGGGCAAACATCTGCAGTTCTGTAAAAAAATTGTAAACTAGAATAAATTGCAGGCATATTCAAATATGTGCATAAATTAATAATGACCCTGAATAATCATATGTAGATGTTATATAAATACTGCATTGTCGGATGGGTTTCAAGCCAAAAGTATTTATTTGAAATTAATTTTTAAATAAAAAGAAGGTATTATGCATAAATGTACTGCAGGCAATAGTAATTGTTTGACAGCAAAATAAAATTACATATGATAAAAAATAAAATAATACAATTATTTGTAGTATGTCATGATTTGTTTTATATTTAGTCTGCATTACAGTAACATTAGGTGTAGACATTTTTGTTGCTGTTTATTGGTTTGTTAGTCTTTTACATTTATCAAAGTTTGTTTTGAGAAAGTTTGCACTGTTTAGTGTAAAAAAAACTAACAAACTATGACTGTATGTCATGATTTGTTTTATATTTAGTCTGCATTACAGTAACATTAGGTGTAGACATTTTTGTTGCTGTTTATTGGTTTGTTAGTCTTTTACATTTATCAAAGTTTGTTTTGAGAAAGTTTGCACTGTTTAGTGTAATAATGTTCACTCATCTACCTAAAAATCAATTTAGTGAGCTCAGGGAGTGGAAGATTAATTAAAACCTGAATGATTTGTAGCAGTTGTCTTTAATTGTCTCTTTATGCGAGTTGTGAGGTGGCACAGAACTACAGTAAACATAAGGGGTAACAAGTGTACACTTTTTTATCTGTTTTGTAACTTTCTGCTCAGCTGTCATAACAACACAGCCTCTTGTTGTTCCAGCAAAAATATCCACAGTCACTGCAGAATAGGGTCCCTCTTGTCATGTTGTGCTGTCTGATCCTGAAATTACAAGCTTTTTCCAAATGTTCTTATTCTGAAATTATCAGCTCCTTCCCAATGTTCTTATTCAAGTCAAGCAGGCTAAAGGGGACTCGGACTAGATGCCACACTTCTCAGCAAATCTCTTGGAATGGATTTATTTTTTAAAGTCAGTTTCAGTATAGACACCCTTAAGTCTTGACAATAAAATAGCTATAGAAAATGTACACTGCTATTGCCCAGAATAAATACAGTTCATATTATAAATATAACATATGCATAGCAAAGCATCATGTCACATTTCACTGATCAGCCACAACACTTAAACCACTTACAGGTGAAGTTAATAACATTGATTATATTGTTACAGTTCAATTCAAGTTTATTTGTATAGCGCTTTTCACGATACAAATCATTGCAAAGCAACTTTACAGCAAATTAAGTTTCTACAATATTTAGTGGTAGCTTATCAGTGGTGACTGTCAGTTAATGTACATATGGCAGAAATGTACTGAAAAATCAATTAAAGACGTAATCAAACAGACGATGAACACTATTAACAGCAATTATCATATGATGAAATCAAACTTATAGCAAGTGGCTGATAGGGCAGTGGTTCTCAATTTTGGTTCTGGTGCCCACAGCTCTGGACATTTTATATGTCTCTCTTATCTGACACACTGTCTGCGTCCGAAAACTAAAAAAAAAATGTTGCCTTTGGGGGATGCTTTCCAAGGAAGGAAGGCATCAAGGCCGAATCCTATGATAGCTTCACTTCATGTCTCCTGAGATTTTTGAACGTATCCTTCGCTGCCTTTGATATCCCACAATCCCGTGCATTCAATACCGTGACGATTGAGCTAAAAAATAAAAATGATATCTCAAAGTTGAGTTTGGTGGTCAGTTTATGTGTAAATGTAGGTTTTTGACCAACTTTTTCCACTTTTGATGTAATTTCTAGCGGTCAATTCGTATTGTATTAATTAAATATTCACTTAGTTATTACCAAAGATCTCTCTATTTTGTTGAAGATCATTGAACTACTATGCTGCCTCAGAAGTCTGTCTGAAATCAGTTTAAGGAAGAACCTTTGTGTGCAAATGCTGCCTCCAAAGTCTTTGTCTGATAAGGCAGTGAGGCATAAAGTCAGCTGTCTAAGGCCTTGTCCACACTAATACGTTTTCGTTTGAAAACAAATCTTTTTCTCTCCGTTTTAGCCTTCTGTCCACACTAAGATGGGGTTTCTGTTGATGAAAACTAAACTTTTTGAAAACAGAGCTTTCAGCATGAAAACTTATGTCTGTTCTTATGTCAAGATTTTAAAATCTTGCTAATTACTTATAAAGCTCTGAATGGTTTAGCTCCTCAGTAATCGAGTGAGCTCATATCACATTATAGTCCTTCACGTCCGCTGCAATCTCAAAACTCTGGTCATTTGATAATATGCGGTTGGATGCGGTCGTTACCTGGCGCGGGATGATAGTCACGATCGAGCAGTTTTTCTCGGCATTCGCATTCTCAACTATCTCAACGACTGGCTCATTCTGGCACAGTCACGGGATCAGTTGTGCGAACACAGGGACATGGTGCTCAGTCACCTGGGAAAAGAGCAAACTCTCTCCAGTGCAGAGGATCTCTTCTCTTGGTATGGAGTTGGACTCGGTCAACCTGACAGCACGCCTCACAGCGGAACGTGTTCGGTCAATGCTGAACTGCTTGAATTCTCTCAAGGGCAGGACAGTGGCCCCACTGAAACTATTTCAGAGGCTCCTGGAGCATATGGCGTCTGCAGCCGCATTAACGGACTGCTTCATATCATGCCACTTCAGCACTGGCTTCACGGCCGAGTCCCGAGATGGGCATGGTAACGCGGCACGCACAGAGTGACGATCACTCCAGCCTGTCACCAAGCTTTCAGCCCGTGGTCAGATCCTGCATTTCTACTGGCAGGAGTTTCTCTAGTACAGGTGTCCAGGTAGCTGTTGTGTTCACGGATGCCTCCACCACAGGCTGGAGTACCACGTACAACGGGCATGCAGCTTCAGGTATTTGGACAGGTCCCCATCTGCATTGGAATTTTAATTGCCTCGAGTTGCTTACAGTACGTCTTGCGCTTGGCCACTTCAAAATGCTGCTACGAGGCAAGCACGTACTGGTCCGTACGGACAACACTGATGCTTTCCAAGGAAGGAAGGCATCAAGGCCGAATCCTATGATAGCTTCACTTCATGTCTCCTGAGATTTTTGAACGTATCCTTCGCTGCCTTTGATATCCCACAATCCCGTGCATTCAATACCGTGACGATTGAGCTAAAAAATAAAAATGATATCTCAAAGTTGAGTTTGGTGGTCAGTTTATGTGTAAATGTAGGTTTTTGACCAACTTTTTCCACTTTTGATGTAATTTCTAGCGGTCAATTCGTATTGTATTAATTAAATATTCACTTAGTTATTACCAAAGATCTCTCTATTTTGTTGAAGATCACTGAACTACTATGCTGCCTCAGAAGTCTGTCTGAAATCAGTTTAAGGAAGAACCTTTGTGTGCAAATGCTGCCTCCAAAGTCTTTGTCTGATAAGGCAGTGAGGCATAAAGTCAGCTGTCTAAGGCCTTGTCCACACTAATACGTTTTCGTTTGAAAACAAATCTTTTTCTCTCCGTTTTAGCCTTCTGTCCACACTGAGATGGGGTTTCTGTTGACGAAAACTAAACTTTTTGAAAACAGAGCTTTCTGCATGAAAACTTATGTCTGTTCTTATGTCAAGATTTTAAAATCTTGCTAATTACTTATAAAGCCCTGAATGGTTTAGCTCCTCAGTAATTGAGTGAGCTCATATCATACATTATAGTCCTTCACGTCCGCTGCAATCTCAAAACTCTGGTCATTTGATAATATGCGGTTGGATGCGGTCGTTACCTGGCGCGGGATGATAGTCACGATCGAGCAGTTTTTCTCGGCATTCGCATTCTCAACTATCTCAACGACTGGCTCATTCTGGCACAGTCACGGGATCAGTTGTGCGAACACAGGGACATGGTGCTCAGTCACCTGGGAAAAGAGCAAACTCTCTCCAGTGCAGAGGATCTCTTCTCTTGGTATGGAGTTGGACTCGGTCAACCTGACAGCACGCCTCACAGCGGAACGTGTTCGGTCAATGCTGAACTGCTTGAATTCTCTCAAGGGCAGGACAGTGGCCCCACTGAAACTATTTCAGAGGCTCCTGGAGCATATGGCGTCTGCAGCCGCATTAACGGACTGCTTCATATCATGCCACTTCAGCACTGGCTTCACGGCCGAGTCCCGAGATGGGCATGGCAACGTGGCACGCACAGAGTGACGATCACTCCAGCCTGTCACCAAGCTTTCAGCCCGTGGTCAGATCCTGCATTTCTACTGGCAGGAGTTTCTCTAGTACAGGTGTCCAGGTAGCTGTTGTGTTCACGGATGCCTCCACCACAGGCTGGAGTACCACGTACAACGGGCATGCAGCTTCAGGTATTTGGACAGGTCCCCATCTGCATTGGAATTTTAATTGCCTCGAGTTGCTTACAGTACGTCTTGCGCTTGGCCACTTCAAAATGCTGCTACGAGGCAAGCACGTACTGGTCCGTACGGACAACACTGCGACCGTGGCATACATCAACCATCAAAGTGCTCTACGCTCCCGTTCGTATGTCACAACTCGCCCACCATCTCCTCCTATGGAGTCAGAAGCATCTGAGGTCACTTCATGCCATTTACATTCCGGGCCCGCTCAATCGTGGAGCCGACAATCTCTCATGACAGCCTGCGCTTCCGGGAGAATGGAGACTCCATCCCCAGGCGGTCCAGCTGATATGGAGACACTTCGGAGCTGCACAGGTGGACCTGTTTGCCTCTTGTTTTATAGCCTGTTTTTATAAAAATAGACCTGTTTTATAGCCTTCGTGTAGAGCCAGTGTCTTCTCGTGTACTTGCCCCAAGTAACCAGTAAACACAGAAGAGACTGCTCGGTGTCTCGCTTGCTGCGCCTTCCTCTCTACAAACCGGACATGTACGCTTATTCTGCTCCACAGTTCAGTTCCCCACAAGCGAACCCTGTTAAGTTCCTCCATTGCCTTTGGCAGCCGGATGTGGCGGAGCATCCGGCACCAGACCTAACACTCGTAAGTACACCTAGGTACCTATATGTGATGATCCCCATGGTGAACCCATGTGTGTATTCTTCCATGGTACGGCTCCCCTCTTGGTGAGCCCATGTCTTTCCCTTGGTAGAGTCCGCTCTGCCGTCCCTGCCGGTGACGACTCCCTCCTAACTGGGCCGGAGCCACCTCAGAGACATTCCATATGTTGTACTGCCCTTAATGCCCAGTCCATATGTGTAATCTCCACATGATACCTCCCTGCGGGCAGGATGTGGATTCAGCAGCGTC